ATTCAGTCTTTTCCTAAAATAGTTCAGCCTTACTTGGAAAAGCTATTGTTCTTCATCCAGACACTAATGCACATGCTCACAACACTGGTGGGCAAAAAGAGCATCTGCACCCACTATCCAGAGCTGTGCTTATGTGATTGTAGCGAAAACAAAATACATGGTTGTAGTTGTAATGCACAATATAAATGGCATGATATGATAGAGCCAGCAGTGGAGATTTTGGCTCTACTGGCCAACTGTGATTGCACAATAACATTGTCAAGCTGAGTGGAATCTGGAAAAATGTTCTTTCTGTTTTTACATGTTGCACTTGAGCTCAAACCATGTAGAATATTCGTGTTTTCATCACTTTTAGCTTATATTTTATTTAAAATATCCAAATTGGCAATATAGGGGCCCCGGAACAGCATCTTGCATAGGGCCTCCACAAAGCTAAAAACGGCCAGTTAACAAGTGAGTAGAGCTCACAATGCTGAGTAGTGAACGGGGCACCAGTGACCAAACGGATTGTTGAGTGATAAATGACTTCGAGTTCATGAAGAAGTTTTTGGAAGCAGTCCCATAAATGTCACTGCAATCTAAGATGGGAAGGACTGTCATTTTGACCAAGGTAGAAACCCAATTCTCGACTTGACTTTAGAGAGTAATATATTCATGTCAATGTCAAATGAAAGTGCTGTCAAGTCAGATGTCAAAATACTTCGAAGAACTGACAAGTTGTAGTTCTGTACCTACAGAGCTATACTTCTTAAGTAGGGTGTGGTCCAACCCGGTCTCACGTTAGACCGGGTTGGCAGGTCAGCTGCTTGTGCGTAATCTAACCACCACTAACAGTGAAAAATATCCCAATATTATAGGTACAGACGGGCTACAGCTTCTGGATCAATTTTATATAAATAATTTTTTAAATGATCTTCTGTTGAAAGATAACTTTCACGTATGTGAGCGACCGGTATTGGTTACTGTCACCTTTTGTTATGGGTTAAAGCAGCTTAGGGTTGGCCCAAGTGCAAGTGGGTGGGCTCAGGCCCAGTAGGCCCCTCCCACAACGCTGTGGCTCCCAGTGTTTCCTGTGGGAAACGGGAAACAATGACTCTTTGATGGGAAAAGGTTGCTGACCCCTGATCTAGACCATCAGTTGCTGAAGCAAGAGTAGACAAGAGTCAAGAGCATTTAAAGGTACTTATTTTTTTGTGCGAGGGTCCCCAGTGTAGCTTTTTGTTAAGGAACCTCCAAGGGTAAAGTCTATTATTTAGAAAAAGGATGTATTTGTGTCTTCTTCAACATTGTAGTGGGGACTGCCCTGTTGAACATCCTTAGCAATCCAATCACAGTGCTCTATGTGTGTGTTGGGCCAATCTCATCATTGTACTGGTTTGTTGGGTGGGTGGGATGTTACTGTGACTGAGCAAAACTAAGATAGGGACAGCTGGTTTTAAACAGCTTTAGCATCAACTTTAGACTATTCAGACTTGGGCCTTTTGAGTCAAGAGCAGATGGAGGTATCCAAGGGGACGCTTTGCACATTTTTCATATTGTTAAATCGTTTTCTTGAGCCAGTTTGTGCTAAAATCACCCTTTACAGGGTTAAGGAGAGACCTCCCAGCCCCTGTGGCCAGAAGACTGCACTTGCAACTTCAGAATGGTGGGCTGCTCAGTTGGGACTTAAACATTTTGAAATGACAAACCTGTCACTGCAGTCTGGTTCCAGCAGGTTTCCTCCAGTCCCAGGGCAGACGCACATACCACCAGGCCACTGAGCAGGTTATTATACAATAAGGTAAACTTTCTAATATTTTGTGCAGATGCAGTTTAACTGGACCTTACATTGTTAGTTTTGAACTGTTTGTATGTTTCAGTGAGAGGCATGGACAGCTCTGTCACCCTGTGGCAGTTTCTTCTCCAGCTCCTGGTGGATTCCGGTAATGAGCACCTCATCTGCTGGACCAATGAGGAAGGAGAGTTCAAGCTGCTCCAAGCGGAGGAGGTGGCCCGGCTGTGGGGAGCCCGTAAGAACAAGCCCAACATGAACTATGACAAGCTCAGCAGGGCGCTCCGATACTACTACGACAAGGTAAAGTCACCTCCAGCTGGACATGGCAGATAGACTGGTTTAGAACAACTCGTGCTCCCATGTAGATAGTGTAGTAGGGTTGGAGCGGGCCGTTTTAGGAATGAACCTGTTTTGTAGTTTTCCACGTCACATTTCGTTCTCACTTGTTTAGGCAGTTGCATTGGTGTCATCCATGTTTTTACACATATTACAGTAAAGCAGCCAGATAGGTCTGGATGTTACTCTCTAAATGTAGTCTGTTAGTAGAAGAAAATTCCCAAATACTTTGCTACATAACCATGAGTGAAAACATGAATAAATCTTTCAGAAATAAGGCAGCACAAGTTCTACGAGTAGCAAAGGCCAATATTTTTATGATGATGATTGAAAAGGCAAACGAAAATGGGAAACTAATTTGGGAAAATATTAGTAAACTCCCTGGACAACCTAAACAACACAACAACAAAGAACTTGAACTTAAATTGAATAACAAATTGGTATCTGAACCATTTGCTCTTGCATCTAGTTTAAATGAACATTTTCTAAATGTAATATGAGATCTCACAAACTTTCACAAATCCAAATGGCACCCTGCAAAACTCAGGTAATGAAACATTAGACAATGATCCAAATACTGGCATTTCATCTTCATCAGTGAAATGTTCAAAAATTGATATTGATAGTATTACAGCATTAGAAGTCTCAAACATAATCTCCACCTTAAGAAATTCTAAGGCAAGGGATGTCTTTGGTTTTGATGCCAACTTGGTGAAGCGCAACAAAACTGGTCTTTTACAACCTATAACTCACTTACTTAATTTGTCAATTACACAGGCAGTTGTTCCACAAGAGTGGAAAGTGGCAAAAGTGATTTCCATCTACAAATCAGAGAACAAAACAGACCGATCAGCATTCTGCCTATTATTTAAAAAATTGCAGAGAAATGGGTGGCTAAATCTATTTTACAACAGTTGAACAGTGGTGACCAGTCCCTTCACCCTATGCAGTTTGGCTTTCGCTGTCACCACTCAACAGAGACAGCTGTCTGTTTTTATCATCGTCTTCCTCCGCTTATCCGGGTCCGGGTCGCGGGGGCAGCATCCCAACTAGGGAGCTCCCCGGCCACCTCCACCAGCTCCTCCAGCAGGACCCCAAGGCGTTCCCGGACCAGATTGGAGATGCAACCTCTCCAACGTGTCCTGGTCGACACGGGGGCCTCCTGCCGGCAGAACATGCCCGAAACACCTCCCCAGGGAGGCGTCCAGGAGGCATCCTGACCAGATGCCCAAACCACCTCAACTGACTCCTTTCGATCTGGAGAAGCAGCGGTTCTACTCCGAGTCCCCCCCGAATGTCCAAGCTCCTCACCCTACCTCTAAGGCTGAGCCCGGCCACCCTACGGAGGAAACTCATTTTGGCCGCTTGTATCCGCGATCTAATTCTTTCGGTCATTACCCAAAGCTCATGACCATAGGTGAGGATTGGGACGTAGATCGACCGGTAAATCGAGAGCCTGGCTTTCTGGCTCAGCTCCATCTTCACCACGACAGATCGGCTCAGCGTCCGCATCACTGCAGACGCCGAACCAATCCGCCTGTCGATCTCCCGATCCCTCCTACCCTCACTCGTGAACAAGACCCCGAGATACTTAAACTCCTCCACTTGAGGTAGGACCTTTCCCCCGACCCGGAGTTGGCAAGCCACCCTTTTCCGGTCGAGAACCATGGTCTCAGATTTGGAGGTGCTGATCCTCATCCCAGCCGCTTCACACTCGGCCGCGAACCTACCCAGCAAGAGCTGAAGGTCTGAGCTGGATGAAGCTAGGAGGACCACATCATCCGCAAAAAGCAGAGACGAGATTCTCCTGCCACAAAACTCGACACACTCCACACCACGGCTGCACCTAGAAATTCTGTCCATAAAGGTAATGAACAGAACCGGTGACAAAGGGCAGCCCTGGCAGAGTCCAACCCTCACCGGGAACAGGTCCGACCTACTACCGGCTATGCGGACCAAACTCACGCTCCTCTGGTAAAGGGACTGAAGAACCCTTAACAGAAATCCACTTACCCCATACTCCTGGAGCGTCCCCCACAGGTTGCCCCTGGGGACACGGTCATAAGCCTTCTCCAAATCCACAAAACAAATGTGGATTGGTTGGGCAAACTCCCATGCCCCCTCCATCACCCTTGCAAGGGTATAGAGCTGGTCCACAGTTCCACGGCCAGGACGAAAACCACATTGCTCCTCCTCTATCTGAGATTCAACTATCGATCGGACCCGCCTCTCCAGTACCTTGGAGTAGACCTTTCCAGGGAGGCTGAGGAGTGTGATCCCCCTATAGTTGGAACACACCCTCAGGTCACCCTTCTTAAAGATGGGGACCACCACCCCAGGCTGCCACTCCACAGGAACTGCCCCCGATGGCCACGCAATGTTGCAGAGACGTGTCAACCACGACAGCCCTACAACATCCATAGCCTTGAGATACCCAGGACGAATCTCATCCACCCCCGGTGCTCCGCCGCTGTGTAGTTGTTTGACTACCTCAGCAACTTCTGCCCCCGAGATTGGACAGTCCATCCCCAGGTCTCCCGGTTGTGGTTCCTCCTCGGAATGCGCGTAGGTGGGATTGAGGAGCTCCTCAAAGTATTCCTTCCACTGTCTGACTATAGCCCCAGTTGACGTCAGCAGCTTCCCATCTCCACTATAAACAGTGTGAGCGAGTTTCTGCCTCCCTCTCCTGAGGCGCCGGACAGTTTGCCAGAACCTCTTTGGAGCCGATCGATAGTCTTTCTCCATGGCCTCACCAAACTCCTCCCACGCCTGAGATTTTGCCTCGGCAACTGCCACTGCTGCACCCCGCTTGGCTATCCGGTACCTGTCTGCTGCCTCTGGAGATCCACAGACCTGCCACGCCCTGTAGGCCTCCTTCTTCAGCCTGACGGCTCCCCGAACCTCTGGTGTCCACCAGCGGGTACGGGGGTTGCCACCACGACTGGCACTGGCCACCTTGCGACCAAAGCTAGCAACACCTGCCTCAACAATTGCAGAGTGGAACAAGTCCCACTCGGAGTCAATGTCCCCCACTGCTCTCGGGATGCGGTCAAAGCTCTGCCGGAGGTGGGAGTTGAAGACCTTCTTGACAGGTTCTTCTGCCAGGCATTCCTAGCAGACCCTCATTATGCGTTTGGGTCTGCCAGGTCTACACGGCATCTTCCCCTGCCATCTGATCCAACTCACCACCAGGTGGTGACCAGTTAACAGCTCCGCCCCTCTCTTCACTCGGGTGTCCAAAACATACGGCCGCAGGTCAGTTGATACGACTACAAAGTCTATCATCAACCTGCGACCTAGGCTGCCCTGGTACCAAGTGTACCGGTGGGCATCCCTATGTTCGAACATGGTGTTCGTTATGGCCAAACTGCAGCTTGCACAGAAGTCCAATAACGAAACACCACTCGAGTTC